TGTAACTTCTTCCCTCTCCCCCATCCCATCATCCACATAAACCCTTAGAACAAAGGACTCAGGGGCTTGGAGTTTTTTGCTCTCTGGCTGTCCCACTAGGCTGCCCAGCCGGCCTCAGGCCACCTGGCTTTTGGCCACCCTTGCCTTCACACACCTTGCTTCACCCTGAACCTATGCCTTTTAGACCCTCTATTCCCACTCTGACTCTTCCATGAGAATGAATCACCTATAAAACTTGCTTGCGTGCTAAAAGACTTGCTGATCTCTAATTCTTTATTGCATTATCAAGAAGATCCAAGTTTCCAGGAGTTCCTTCCATAAGAAAACATGTCATGGCAAAATTCATACTGCAGCTTCTGCTACCAGAGCAGAAAGAGCATGGTGCTGCAGTTGCTAATGAGTTGATTCAAACCACTACCAATGAATCAGACTTCCTCAAGAAGGTCACAAATGGAGATGAGTCTTAGGTCTGCAGCTATGGTCCAGAAATGAAGGCCCAGTTGTCCAAATGGAAGTGGCCTGTGTCTTCTCACCTGAAGAAAGCATGGCAAAGTCGCACCAAGATCAAGACCATGTTAACTGTGTTTTTTAATTGGGAAGGTGTTGTCCATCACAAGTACACCCCTCCAGGCCAACCAATTAGTAAGGAGTGCTATCTTCATGTTCTTAGGAGGCTGAGAGATGCAACACGATGAAAACAGTTACAGCGATGGGCAACTGGTGATTGGCAGCTTCATCATCACAATGCACCCACTCATGCGTCATACCATGCAGAGTTTTTTTTGTGAAACATCAAATCACCAAGGTGACTCAGACCCCTACAGCCCAGATTTGGCACCCTGTGACTTCTGGCTTTTCCCAAACCTAAAATCACCTTTGAAAGGGAAAAGAGTTCAGACTGTCTATAAGATTCAGGAAAATACAACGGGGCAGCTGGTGGAGACTGGGTGAGCTATGTGAGGTCCCAAGGTGCCTACCCTGAAGGGGACTGAGGTGTCATTGTCCTATGGACAGTGTTTCTTGTACCTTGTGTCTTCTTCAATAGTGTCTCCATTTTTCATATTACATGGCTGCATATATTCTAACAAAGGTGCAAAGAAAATTCATTGGAGAAAAGATAGAGTTTTCAGCAAATTGTTGGAACAATTGAGTATTCATGTGACAAAAAATTTTTTAAACACACCTCTGTCCATATTTAGCAATATGCACAAAAATTAACTCAAAATTGATCTTAGATCTACATGTAAAATATAAAACTATAAAACTTCCAATATTCATATGAAAAAATCTTTTGTTAGGTACATGTTAGGTAAAGATTTATATGTTAGGTAAAGATTTCTTGACTCCTGGCCAAGATGGAGGCATAGGTAGATACACTGTGCATCCTCACACAACCAAAATAAGGATGACAATTTAGAAAAAAAACCAACCAGTACAGACAGAAAATTGAACCGTATGGAAGTCTGACAACCAAGGAGTTAAAGTAGATGTATTCATCCAGACCAGTGGGAGAGGCGGAGTCAGGCAGCCAGGTGCAGAGGGGTCTTGGCAAAGCGGTGGCTGGCGGATCTCGAACACACAAGGCAGCCAGTGGTGGAGCCAGCAAGGTGGTGGATTGTGGAGGGGCATGGCACACAAGGCAGCTGGCAAACCAGGTGGTCCCACATTCACGTGCATATTATCCAGGCGAAACTGGGGAGCAAGACAGACTGCACAACCCGGGTGCCGCCATGGGGAAATAGAGCTGCAAAACACTGATTGAAAACACCTGTGGGTTTTGAGGTGCCAGGAGAGACTCCCAGCTTCACAAGAGAGCTTATTGGAGAGACCCATAGGGTCCTAGAATGTACACAAACCTGCCCACATGAGAATCAGCACCAGAAGGGCCCAATTAGCTTGTGGGAAGCGGGGGAAGTGACTGAAAGCCAGAAGAGAATGGATCAAGCACCATTGTTCCCTCTCAGACCCCTGCCCCACATACAGCATCACAACCCAGCAACTGGGTTTCCCCATCCTTGTGAACACCTGAGGCTCCGCCCCTCAAACCTAACAGGTACACCGAGACAAAAAAATAAATGGCCCAAATGAAAGAACAGATCAAAGCTCCAGAACAAATATAGCTAAGCAATGCAGAGATAGCCAACCTATCAGATACACAGTTCAAAACACTGGTAATCAGAATGCTCATAGAATTGGTTGAATTTGGTCACAAATTAGATGAAAAAATGAAGGCTATGCTAAGAAAAATACAGGAAAATGTACAGGGAACCAACCGTGATGGGGAGAAAACTGGAACTCAAATCAACTATGTGGACCAGAAGGAAGAAAGAAACAGCCAATCAGAAAAGAATGAAGAAATAAGAATTCAAAAAAATGAGGAGAGGCTTAGGACCCTCCAGGACACTTTAAACATTCCAACATCCAAATTATAGGGGTACCAGAAGGGGAAGAAAACAGCAAGAAATGAAAAATTATTTGAACAAATAATAAAGAACTTCCTCAATCTGGAAAAGGAAATAGACTTCAAGGAAGTTGAGGAAGCTCAGAGAATCCCAAAGAAGTTGGACCCAAGGAGGAACACATCAAGGCACATCATAATTATATTACCCGAGATTAAAATGGAGGAGAGAATCCTAGAAGCAGCAAGAGATAAGGGGACAGTCACCTACAAAGGAGTCCCCATCAGACTGTCAGCTGATTTCTCAAAAGAGACCTTGCAGGCAAGAAGGGGCTGGAAAGAAGTATTCCAAGTCATGAAATCCAAAGACCTACAACCAAGATTGCTCTATCCAGAAAAGCTTTCATTTAGAATGAAAGGGCAGATAAAGTGCTTCCCAGATAAGATCAAGTTCAAGGAGTTTATGATCACCAAGCCCTTATTATATGAAATGTTAAAGGGGACTTATCTAAGAAAAAACAGATAAAAAGCATGTATAGTAAAATGACAGCAAACTCACAATTATTAACAATCGCACCTAAAACAAAAACAAACTAAGCAAACAACTAGAATGGGAACAGAGCTACAGAAATGGAAATCACATGGAGGGTTAGCAACAGGGCAATTGGAGGATGAGAGAGGGAGAAAAGGTACAGAGAATAAGTAGCATAGATGGTAGGTGGAAAATATAGTGTGGGAAGGTAAGAATAGTATGGGAAATGGAGAAGCCAGAGAACTTACATGTATGACCCATGGACATGAACTAAAGGGGGGGCATGTGGGTGGGAGGGAGGGTGCAGGACAGAGGAGAGTGAAGGGGAGAAATGGAACAACTATAATAACACAGTCAATAAAATACGTTTTTTAAAAAAAGAACATGCTTAAAATAAAAGTCAAAAGTGTTCACAAAAAAATTTCTTAAATACACCATAAGCACAATCTATGAAAAATTGATAAATTGAATTTTAAAATTAAGAACTTCTGCTTTTTTAACATTAAAATCCCCACCCAGGGTAATGTTTATTGATTTGAGAGAGAGGGAAGGATGGGGAAGAGAGAGAGAGAAACATCCATGTGAGAGAGAAACATGGATCAGTTGCTTTCTGTTCACACCCCGACTGGAGATCGAACCTGCCAACTTTTGGTGTACAGGACAATGCTCCAACTAACTGAGCCACCCAGCCAAGGCAAGAACTTCTGCTTTTTAAAAGACCCTACTAAAAGACTGAAAAGACAAGCTGTATACTGGGAAAGAATATTTGCAAATCACATATCTGATAAGAACTTACATCCAGAATATATAAGAAATCAAAAAAATTTAAAAACTACTCAACTTTCTTAAATGGGCAAAATATCTGAGGCCCTGGATGGGTAGGTGGTTTGAGCATTGCCCCAGTACACCCAGGCTGCAGGGCACACACAAGAAGCAACCAAAGAATGAATGTATAAATAGGTGGGACAAATCTCCCTCTCTCTCCCTCCAACCCCCTTTCTGTCTCTCTGAAAAAAAAAAAAGTTGATAAAATAAAAAATACATACTTGAACAGAATTAATAAAAAATATATGTACTAATGTCAAATAAGGACCTGAAAATATACTCAATATTATTAGACATTTGGAAAATAGGAAACTGAAACTGCAATCAAATACTACTACATACCTATTGAAAAGATTGCCATACCAAGTGTTGTAAGGATGTGGAACAACTGAGATTCTCATGTACCACTGGTGGGATATAAGATAAGCACTTCAGAAAACAATTTGACACTTTCTTAAAAAGTTACCCATAAGGTAAGTATGGCCCAGCCAGTCCATCTCTAAATGAATGAAAGCATATAGCCCCATGAAGACCGATGGTGTGTTTCAGCAGCTTAATTTGTACGAGCCAAGAACTGGAAACAACCCGAGTGTCCATCAGTAGATGAGTGTGTGACCAGATCGTGGCACCTCCATGTAATACAATACTACTCAGCCACAATCAACATGAATGAGCCTCAGAATAATTAAGCAGAGTGAAAAGTCAGATAAAAATTCATTCTGTGTGATTCCATATCTATACATTTCTAGAAAATGCAAATTAATCTATAGTGGCAGGAAGTAGGTCAGTGGTGGTCTGGGGCAGGGTAGGAGAGTCATGGGAAGAAAGAGGAGGGGCTTCCTAAAGAGTGTGAGTGTGTACATGTGTCAAAATTTACTGAGTTGGCAAGTTTTATGGTATGTAGATTTAACTACAAAAAAAGAAATATTATCAAGTTGCTTTAATTATGAGCAGTTTATTATATGTCAAATTCTTGATAAAACTGTTTTAAAAGTGTGTTTTTAAATACAATAAAGACATAAAAAGATCATTATGCAAAAAAATTTTATCCCACAAATATTATTTTTTAAGGGTAGACTTTTATAAGAAAATTTACTAGGTCAAATAGTAATAATAGTTTTAATGTCCTCAAGACACAAAGTACTTTTAAGAACGATTGAACAAAGTTTTATTTTTAATTCAAAGACATATTTATTTTATTTTATTTTTTATTTTATTGTCTATGTTATCACAGTTGTCCCAGTTTTCTCCTCTCGTCCCCCTCCCTCCGGCCCACCCCTGGGCAATCCCCATACTGTCGTCCATGTCCGGGGGTCATATGTATTCTTCTTCATCCGATCCCTTCACCTTCTTTCAACAAGTCCCCACCTGCCCTCCTCTCCTGCAGCTATCAGTCTGTTCCTTGTTTCTGTCCCATCTCACTCTCCGCAAATTCTGAAAATTTAAATATATATATATATATATTTGCAAATTTGACAGCTAAATAGCCTTTTATTTTCATTTACATTTTTGTTACTACATATGCCATATTTTAAACAAAACCTTGACAAACTAGAGAGGTACAATGAAGGCGTCCATCCAGAGTGCTGGGCTGTGGGACTCGGCTGTTGTGAGAAACGGTGGCGGACGGCACCGAAGGGTCACCCGAGGAAGCCCCTGGGACGGGAGAGACAGAGAAAGGCCGAGTGCTCTCCTCCAGGAACTGCAGTGACATCCCTCAGGAGGGGGACCTCTGGGGCCGGTGGCCTAGGGGAAGAAAAAGATGAAGTTCCACGTGGAAGGAGCTCTTACAAAAGGGAGATTGCAGCTCAGGAAGAGAAAGGACCTATTTTGTGGCGAGGGAAAAAAGGGCAGGACCACAACAGTGTTCACTGTGACAGTTTCAGCAGGGTGCAGCAGGCGCCCGTCTGGCTCTGGGCGGTCAGCAGGAGGAGCCTGCAAGGGCCTGCAGCCTCACTGCGGAGGGAGTTCCTGCCTCAAGTGGGAATTTGGATGAGACGGCCTCAGATCGCATGCTCTTTGTTTCTCCAGTTTTACTGAGATATGATTGTCATGCATCACTGCATGGGTTTCAGGTGTACAACATAAAGGTTTCACCTGCATATATTGTGAAGTGATTACCACAATAAGTTTAGTTAACATCCATCATCTCATATAGATGCAGTAAAAAGAAATGAAGAGAGAGAGAGGTTTTTCTCCTTGTAAAGAGAACTCAGCATTAACAGTTTTTGTACACATAAGTGGTAACTATAGCCATCATGTGCACATTGCATCCCTAGTACTTATTTATCAGATAATTTTTAGAAGTCCTGTGATGTGTTTCTCTCATTCCCTGTCCTTAACATGTTTTGTTTTGTTTTCCTATTTGCCCCTGTACTTCCTGGAAGTGGTGACTTGTCCTTATCTTTCTATGTTTGCAAAGTGATGGGTGAGAAATAAAGCCACTTGCTTAGTTTATAGAACATAGTGAGCAGCCTTTAAACACAGGGGGTAGATGTATTCCAGAGATGAGAAAAGAGATTCCTGGGAAAGTACTTGATTGGCTCCTTAATCATGTTAAAATGGTTCCTGACCAGTACGACATTATTATTACCCCGTAATTAATGTCTAACCAGGGCCCATCCCAAATGGAAAATCTAAACAAATAGACACAATAGTCATTATAAAGTTGTCATTTGTTTGTGCTTATTGCTCCACCAAAACACCTGAAGGCAATGTACATAACAGCAATGAAAACATGAGCTGTGAAGAATGATGGGTGTGCACCAAACACTGAGAAGGGGGAAAGAAGAGAGGAGATAAGAAGATTTGAAACAGCGTCTTCATTAAAGTTTGAATACGAGCTTGATGGGTGTCTGATGTCCTGCTAAAAGGTTTTGATTTAATTCTATAAATGATAAGGAACCTGCCAAGGTCTTCAAGTTAGAGAGTAACATAATGTTTTGTTGCTTTTTAAGGATATTGTATTGATTATGCTATTACAGTTGTCCCAATTACTTCTCCCTTTTACCCCCCTCCTCCAAGCAACCCTTCCCTTCTTATAAGGTTGTACATATAAGTTCTTTGGCTTCTCTGTTTCCTATACTATTCTTAACCTCCCCCTGCCTATTTTATACGTACCATTTATGCTTCTTAGTCCCTGTACTATCCCCCTATTCTTCCCTTCCCCCTCCCCACTGAAAACCCTCCATATGATCTCCATTTCTCTGGTTCTGTTCCTGTTCTAGTTATTTGCTTAGTTTTTGTTTTTTTTCTTAGTTTCAGTTGTTGATAGGTATGAGTTTGTTGTCATTTTACTATTCACAGTTTTTTATCTCCTTCTATTTCTTAGATAAGTCCCTTTAACATTTCCTAGAATAAGGGCTTGATAATGATTAACTCCTTTAACTTGACCTTATCTGGGAAGAACTTTATCTACCCTTCCAGTCTAAATGATAGCTCTACTGGCTCAAGTAATCTTGGATGTAGGTCCTTGTCTTTCATGACTTGGAATAGTTCTTTCCAGCCTTTTTTTGCTTGCAAGGTTTCTTTTGAGAAATCAGCTGATAGTCTTATGGGCACTACTTTGTAAATAAGTCTCTCCTTTCCTCTTGCTGCTTTTAAGATTCTCTCTTTATTTTTAATCATGGATAAGTTAATTATGATACGCCTTAGTGTGTTCCTCCTTGGGTCCATTTTCTTTGGGACTCTCTGAGCTTCCTGGACTTCCTGGAAGTATATTTCCTTCACCAGATTGGGGAAGTTTTCCTTCATTATCTTTTCAAATAAGTTTTCCATTTCTTGCTCTTTCTCTTCTCCTTCTGGCACCCCTATGATTCAGATGTTGGAGTGCTTAAAGTTGTCTCATAGGTTCCTAAGCCTCTCCTCATTTTTTTGAATTCTTGTTTCATCATTCTGTTCCAGATGGATGTTTATTTCTTCCTTCTGGTTCAAATCGTTGATTTGAGTCCCAGTTTCCTTCCCTTCACTGTTGGTTTTCTGTATGTTTTGCTTTATTTCACTTTGTGTAGCCTTCATTTCTTCCTCCATTTTGCAAATGAGCTCAATCGGTTCTGTGAGCATCCTGACTTCCAGTGTTTTGAACTCTGCATTAGGTAAGTTGTCTATCTCCTCGTTGCTTAGCTCTTTTTCTGGAGTTTTGATCTGCTTTTTCATTTGGGCCATATTTCTTTGTCTCCGGCACCTATTATGTTGTAAGGGGGTGGGGCCTTAGGTATTCACCAGGGTGGGACAACCCTCTTTGTGGCTCTGTCTGTGGGGTAGGGGTCAGAGAGGGAACAATGGGGCTTGCTTGCTCTGCTCTAGCCCCACTTCCCAACGAACTCTCCTGTGAGACTAGGAGTTTCTCCCACCGTTGCAAGCCCTGCAGTGGTTTACAGCTAGCTTTGAGTCTTTAGTTTCCCATTTAGCCAGCCCCGCCTTGCCCACATGGTTTACTACCTTGCCTCACATCTTTCCACTAGGCTGCCTATCTCCCATCTCCACCTCTCCCACTGGTCTGGGTGAATGTTTTTTTTGACTCCTTGGTTGTCAGAGTTCCATGCAGTTTGATTTTCTGGCACTTGTGATTGTTCATTGTTTTTAAACTGGTTGTTATCCTCAGTTGTGCGAGGAAGCGAAGTGTTTCTACCTGTACCTCCATCTTGGCTGGAACCTCCATCAGGTACTATTATGAGCCCAAAACTAAAGCTTAGGAGCCTAGGTTATCATCACCTAGCTAGTGATAAGATTGCAGATATGATTCTTGGGTTTTTTTTTAACAAGTTATATGCTAGCCAGTGATGTGTAAATTTTTATTTATTATTGGTTTTCCTTCCTAGAATGGGAGTTCCTAAACAACAGGGTTTTTATCTGCATTGCTCACTCATTGCTCACTGTTGTGTGCTCAGCATAGAGCAGGTAGTCAAAACATCTTTGTTGAATGAACAAGTGGATCCTGGCAAATAGTAATCAAGGATGCGACTCAGGGATCATGAGCCAAGGCAAAGTCTAACAACACTCTGAGGTTTAACCCACTCGAGAACTGCTGGGCACACATGCAGGTGTGAGCTGGGACTAAAAGGGTGGGAAGATAGTAGGTTTTCTTGGTTCACTATTGTTTTTTGTTTGTTTGTTTATGTTTTATTCAGCTACAATGGACATATAACATTCCATTCCAGTATAATGATTTAATATTTGTATATATTGTGAAATAACCACCACAGTAATTCTTCCATCACTGTATATAGTTAAAATGTTTTCCTGTGATACAAAAATTTTAAGATCTATTCTCTTAACAACTTTCGAATATGCAGTATAGCATTATTCATTATAGTCATCATGCTGTACATTACATCCCCAGGTCTTACTTATTTTATAAATGGGAGGTTGTACCTTTTGATGGCTTTCACCCATTCCACCCCCTCCCTACTCCCTGCATCTCTGCCTTGGCAACCACCATTCTATTTTCTTTATCTATGAGCTTTTTTAAGAAAAAGATTTCATGTGTAAATGAGGTCATACAATATTTGTCTTTTTCTATCCAACTCACTTCACTTAGCATATGGCCTGAAGGTTCATCCATGCTGTTGCAAATGACAAGATTTCATTCATTTTTATGGCTGAATAATATTCCTTTGTGTATATATACCACATCTTTTCATCCATTCATCCATTAGTAAACACTTTGGCTATTGTAAATGAGGCTGCAGTGAACATGGCATGCACGTATGTTTTCAAGTTAGTGTTTTATTTCATTTAGATAAATACCTGGAAATATTGCTGGATCGTATGGTAGTTCTATTTTGAACTTTTTGAGGGCCCTCCCTACTGTATCCATAGCGGCTGCCCCAATTTACATGCCCCCCAACTCTGCCAAGGGCTTCCCACTCATTATTGGTTTTTCCTCACATCTCCATGTGTGCAGGTGGCGAAGCTCAGCCAGTTAATATGATTACTGGCTCCGAATCATAGCAGGAATTAGCCAAAACAGAATTGTGTAATCCAAGGTTAGAATATGATGTCAAAAAATTCCAAAGACCGAGGAAATCAGAATTTATAATCCCTCCCTTCACCAGTTTAAAATTTCCCATTGTGCAAGTGTAAATCATCTGTACAGTATTTTAAGCACTCTTTCCCTTTCTGTGTCTTATGAAGTAACCAATTAGTCATCTTTCTGCGTGTATCCTTTTAAAGAAATTTTAATAATAAGTCATAAAGATTACTTAACATTTAATCCGTTTAAACTAACCTCTGAGAGTTCTGATAAGAAATGCTGCAGTTGTCTCCTTTCCATTTGAAAGTAGTGGTAATGATTTCGTCCTTGGCCAAACACTGACACTTATCTGGGTCCAGCATTTCCAGTCCAAATGGCAGCTCAAGTCTGCCCCCTAGAGTAGAGAAACCAGAGTGCCTTAACTGTTACCACGAACTGGATTAAGCTCCTAATTCTGAGATTGGGCTTTCCTAGAGGACTGCCACTTTCTATTTTATATGCTTCTGCATTATTTGTAAGTATGTGAGATATTGATCTTTTAAGTTAAAAAATTTCCACTTTAAGCCCTGGCTGGTGTAGCTCAGTGGCTTGAGTGCGGGCCTGCGAACCAGACAATCGCGGTTCGATTCCCAGTCAGGGTACATTCCTGGGTTGCAGGCCAGTTCCCTGCAGGCCAATTCCCAGCAGGGGATGCATGAAAGGCAACCATACATTGATGTTTCTCTCGCTCTCTCCTTCTCTTCCCCCCTAAAGATAAATAAATTAAATTAAAAAAAATTTCCACTTTAAGTGGAAAATATTAACTACAAATACAATTTTTCATTCCAAACTATGTTTATTGAGTCATTTCTATGTGACACCCACCTACTAAGTTCTGAGAATGCAAAGATGATTAGGATGTGGTTCCTGTCAGTAAGAGTTTATAGTCTAGATGGGAAAACAGACATGTGAGGAAGTCATTCCATTATACGACAAAACCTATATGAGTTATGCTATAACACAGAAGAGAATATGGAAGGACAGAGGCATTTTTATTTGGAGAGAGAAGGAAAGAAGAAAGGACCAAAAAAAGGAAGGACAGAATGAGATAAAACAAACTTTAAAATGCTGTAACTAGTATTAGGCCCATTAACCCCAAATGATATCAGGAAATAATTAAATTCTGATAGTTTTTTAAGCTCAGGAAAACTTAAGAAGTAATTCAAGTAACACAAAAGGAGGCCTGAGAGGATATACAGGTTAGTGGTGTTCAATAGAAATGTAACATGAGACATAGGTGTAACGTTTTCTAGTACCACATTAAAAATGGGGTGGGAGACAAGCAGAATTAATTTTAATAATTTATCTCATTAAATATATCCAAAATATTATCATTCTGTTGGAATCAAGGCAAAACAGAAGGGGCTTAAAATGAGGTAATAGCAATGAAAATGGAGAGAATCTGGTAGACCTAAGGAGATTTAGAAGCAAAGTAGGCAGAAGTTGAAGATTATTTGGATGGAGGATAAAAAGAGTACAAGGTGGCTTCAAACTTGATCAGGTTCTTGCTTAACAACTGGTCAGTCTTACTACAGAGAACACAGGAGGCGGGCAAATGGATAGACAGAACAAGAAGTAGTGACTTACTTTTAAAAGAGAGTTTGAAATGCCTATGACACCTGCAACTAGTTCAATGTCCAAGGGCCAGCTGTGTATGTGAGACTGTGATGCTCAGGACAGAGGTCCGCACCACACAGATAGATTTGGGGATGATCAACACACTCACACACACACACACAACTGACATGGTGCAGACGTGTGAAATTGGCCAGAGAGAATAAGGAGAATAAGGGAGTGACTGTCAGAGTCCAGGGGAAAACCACTATCTGACGCATGAGGATCTCTCACCAAAAACCAGTCAGGGTGATTAGAGAGTACAAGAAGACCCAAAAGAATATAGGTCACAACAGCCAAAGGAGGGGAGGATGGTCAACAATGTCAGATGCTGTCAGGAAATCAAGCAAAGGAAGTAAAGTGGTGTTTTCCTAGAATTCACTGGACAGTAAGAAGGTCACGGGTGACTTTGATGAGAACAGTCTATACAGAGTGTAAGGACAGGAGTCACACTGCTGCAGACTGAAAGTCAAGGGCAACATGCACACAACCCTTCTAGAAGTTTTCTGTGAAAGAAAAGATAGTTAAGGTGGTAGCCAGTGTATATCAAGGGTGGTACCTATTAATAAAGGAAAGTTTTTAAGACAGAAGAGACTTGAACATGTTTAATGGCTATTGGAGAGGAACCATTAAATTTTGCACTGTTATTTCATTGATTTGTTAATGATATATGAACTGAGAGTTCATGTCTGTAAAGTAGTTTATGTATGTGTGTGTGTATATACAGAGACAATATTCTGGAAGGACATATACCAAAGTATTAACCATATTTATCTCTGGGTAGGTATAATAAAAGAATTTTTATTTTTATTCTCTTTCTTTAAATGTATATTGTTTATTAGGAAAAATATGGCTTTGTGATAGAAAGAAGGTACTAAGCTAGAGACTTCGTTTTCAGGGAGTCCCCCCTCCTGCATGTACTATGGTCCTGAAAATATGGTAGAAATAGGCTTCCTCCCAGTTTGACGAAATAGATTATAAAATCCCTAATCATGATTTTTCCAGGTCCTGCCATTCTTGAGTCCAGGAAGAGGAAAACCCTTCACAGGTGTCCTGGCTAAGGTGGAAGGTGGCTACTGTCTCAGCCAACCAGCCACTGGCCAAGGGAACTCCATCCAGTTGTCCCCTCTCCCCATGGATGGGCCACCTCTCCCTAGCCCTTTCTATAGGGGCCAGAGCTGAGGAGCAGACTGTCCCCAAACCTGAAACTTGGTTAGTAAGACTGAAAAGTGCCTGAAGGAGCCCTGGCTGGTGTGGCTCAGTGGATTGAGTGCCAACCTGTGAACCAAAGAGTCAGTGGTTCAACTCCCAGTCAGGGCACATGCCTGAGTTGCAGGCCAGGTCCCCAGTGGGGGGCATGTGAGAGGCAACCACACATTGATGTTTCCCTCCCTCTCTTTCTCTCTCCCTTCCCCTCTTTAAAAACAAATAAATAAAATCTTTAAAAATAAAGTACCTGGAGGAGAGCTGAGGAAACAATTACAGCATAATGCCATCCTTGAAGGCAGGCCAGGCCCCGTCCTCCCCCTCAGTGGTGGCAAACAACAGGCCAGTGACACTGTCTAAAAGCTTTCCTTTATATGGGTCAAAAACCATTAAACTGTGTATAAAGGCCACAAAAGGGATGAAGGTATAAGCTGTATGAAAACTGAAAGAATTTGGGTCAAAGATCATCACTATTTTACTTTTTCTTCACTGTTTTCCTCTTCTTTCCTTCTCCTTTTCCTTCTTTCTACTGTCTATGTCAAAGTTACTTTGTGTCTTACTTAATCAATTCATTATAGTATTACTTATAAGTAGTGGTTTTGGGAGATATTGTTCTTTACTATGTGAAGAGTAGCTGCCCCTGGGCATTTGAACCTCTAAGACAGAGACGAAGAATAAATCAGGAGGGTATTAAAGAATGTAGAGTCTTTTCCTCCAGGGGGGAAAATAGTGGTAGAATATGGCCTCAGTGGGCTAATTACCTGACTGTGTAATTATTTCATGAAGTATACATATGTCAAATCATTATATTGTACAATTTAAATGTATACAACTTTATTTGTCAATCATACTTTAATAAAGCTAAAACAGTAAGAAAAACAAGTGCTCACTTCAGCAGCACATACACTAAAACTGGAATCACAGAGAAGATTCGCATGGCCACTGCACAAGAATGACAGGCACTCAGTGCTCCCTATTTAAAAATAATGCATGGGATGGAATATACAACGTGGTGACTGTATGGTATATTTGAACACTGCTAAGAGAGTAGATTGTAAAAGTTCTCATCACAAGAAAAAAAAAAAGTTACTGTGTGGTGACGGATGTTAATCCCCCTTATCCCGGTGGTCGTTTTACAATATACACAAGTATCATTAGGTGGCACACCTGAAACTAATGTTATTTGCCTATATTTCAATAAAAATAAATGCCAAAGATGGCCTCAGTTATAACCGAGAGCAGGAAGCAGACCTCAGAGCTCCCGTCCCCGCCCATGCAGCCCAGACAGTGACCTGCGCCCACTCTTGCTTTCCCCAGGCTGCTCCCTCCCACCCACCACCTGCACCCTCAGTCGGACCGCGGCCGAGGGAACACGAGGCCCCGCCCCAGGTCAGGAGCAGGTCGGACTGGAGGGCGCTCGGGCCCTAACACTGCCCACAGCTGTGAGGTCCCGAACGCTCCCAAACGTGTTTCCTGGCTTGGAGGGGAGGAAACGGGCCCGCCCTAGAGGGGTGAGGACTGTTTGAGGTCAAGACCTCAGTTTAATACTTGGCATGTTAATGACCGTTCTCATTAAACGCTGGCCATTAGACGTACTTACATAATTACTGCTAATAAGGATCTATGCTTAGAGTCGCACTAATGACGTTGTTTAAGGTTTTTTGCGATTCTGACGTGGAAGAGGGGTTGGTAAGATGTGTGGGTGGCTCTTAAATATCTTTCTTTACATTTTCAAGAACTACTTTAATGTATGAAAATGTTTTATTCTCCTTATTCCCATAACAGGCCAACAGAGCCGATCGAATTCCCTGCTAAGACGCCAGAAGCAGCTGCACCGGGAGGCCAGTCTGGCTGGGGAGCAGCCCCCCTCCGCCCTCCCCCACTGAGCGCCGCAGGCGGCCTGCCAGCACCACCGCCCGGACCCCGCACGCTGCGCTCCAAACGCACCGCAGCCCGTGTCGTCACGGTGGGGGAGCGGAGCGCTACTGGAGTCCTTTTTTCAAAGAGAGGGGCTGCCTGTACTTCTCCGTGTTCTTCCCTCCTAGAGCCCCTTCTTTCCTCCGCTTTCTGGCGGGATCTTATCTCCATCCTCAGGCATTCCCTTTCATTTTTTCCCTTTCTGCTGTCGGGTCCCTGGAAGAGAAGGATCAGAAAAGCACAAAAATATGCCAACAGCTGACAACGTTTTGCATTTCAGTTAATTACCAGAAACGAAGAGCAGACTTCTGCATCTTAGTTTCTTATAATAAATTAGCATAAGCCTAAGGGTGCTGTTAAGGCTTTAATCATAACTAAAAAATAAATGCAAAGTGAGGCGTCTATCGAGGAAACTCGGCCTGCACGGGACTACCTCCAACACACGGGGACGTGATTTCACAACATGATAAAATTAGTCTCCCGGTGCTTTTTGAAAAGGAATGTGCTAATTGAATCATGCATGCAATTATTCTAACCTTGCTGTGTCCACTCCCACAAATTATATTAATAGTAGGGTTTGCTCTGGTTTTAATGTGAGGACTCTGTGATGACTGAAGTGTCGAAATAACATCCAAATTCATGAATGGTCCCCCACATGTTCCCCGGGGGTCTGTATGCATTAGAACCAGGGGATATGGCACTAACAACAGAGACCCAACCTCCTACAATTTACACCTAGGTGGAGGGAGACAGACATCAAAAGCCTAACAGGAAACAAGAGAATAAGAAGCAAATAGTGGTATGTGCGATGAGTGGAAACAGGATGGCAGTCTGGGGGCGGCGGAGGTGAAGGGGGGGCTTCTTTAGGTTCCACGGCCAGGCAGTGCCTTTCAAAGGAGTTACCAGCAAGAAAAAGTGGCACTGGTAAATGTGGCGATGCCATCTATGTACACTTCTCTTTTCCAGAGTGAAGAAAGAAAATCATTGTTCTCCTCCACTTGATCTGGAAATGCTGGGGAACCGGAGAAAGCCTATCAAGCCAACTTACAGGGCGCGCGCGCTGCAGCCAAGGAGCAGGTCATGACTGGGCGCTGCAGGGGTGTCAGCTCCTCCACAGGGTTCAACTGCTTTCGCACCGCCCCTAGACCGGTTCATCACTGCCACCTGGAACGGTCCACTAGTCAAACTCAGAAAGCAAGGCCAGTGCCGGGGCTGAGATTCAAATGAAGAGGAACTTAAAATGTGTGCTACCTCTATAAATGTGCCTCCAGATTATTTTCATTAGATCCAGCAATTGTATTAGGTCCACCAGCCTGATAAAAATTTATATGTAGTGGTCATGAATGTCTCCAGTACTTAAAATTTGTATAAAAAATATAGTGATGATTATTTCCAACTTGGCTTTTTCCCTTTTGGAGGTAAAGACTGAGGTCTTTACCTCCAAAAGGAAGGTCATAAATAATGACCTGAAATACTTTCTTACCTTAGCCACTTAGAAATAAAATGTGAAAATGATCAGCATAAGCCAATTGAGGTTTTCAATATCAAAATGAAAGAATTTAGTGTTACTGCCCATGATCTACTACAAAAGCAGTTTCTGGTTCCTTTGGATGCTGAAAGATACAACATTTAAATCTACATGTTAGTTTGCACTCGGCCCCCACACAAAAGATAACATCATTTTTAAATTCACCAGCAAATTGCACTCTTTAATGTAGTTAGCTTTAGAAAATTGTCGGTTGTGAAATAGAAAAACATTTTAAAGTATTTGTGTATCGGTTCTGAAATTTTAATGTTCATTACGATTAACTTTATTTTATTTAAAAACTGATATAAAATAAAATAGTAAAAATTATTTACTATAAATATTGGTATCATATGAAAACTTTTAATAATTTTGTAAATTCCTAGCAGGTTTCTAGCTATTATAGTATATACCTTTGGAAAAGTCCTGAAGTAAAAAATATATATATTAAAAATAGTGCCTTGGTTATCTGGGCATTCAAAAGGAAGAACTTGGGCCTTGGCTGGTGTGGCTTCATGGACTGCATGCCAGCCTATAAACTGAAGGGTCATGGGTTCAATTCCCAGTCAGGGCACATGCCTGGGTTGTGGGCCAGGTTCCCAGTAGGGGGCATGAAAGAGGCAACCACACATTGATGTTTCTCTCCCTCTCTTTTTTTCTATCTTTCCTTCTCTCTAGAAGTAAATAAAATCTTTTTTTTTTAAAGGAAGAACTTGGGAAAGGAATACAACAACATGTTATATTTTAGGAATAATGTGATAAACATCTTTCAATTAAAAACTGATTTCACATTTACATACTTTTAGGGCTTATAATATTAGCAAGTGATTTCACATAAGTAGTTATATGAGAGTATATGTCATTATGTGAAAATTTTTTGAGGCCATTAGAATCAACAAAGAAGTGTTTCAATTAAATTTTTTTTAAGTATATGTGTGTATACCCTACCTTGTCTTAGGGAAAAAATGTTTTAAGATTCTATTTATCTTGAGAGAGAGTAAAAAAGAGAGGGGAGAAACACGCCTCGCGTGCAGGCCGGCCACACTCAGCCCACTGAGCCACACCGGCCAGAGCTGTTCCAAGAAGAGTTTAAGGCAGGTAGATTTCCTGAATGAATATAATGAGTCATTTTAACATGCAGGGTTTCTTTTGTTTGTTCGTTTTTAATCCTCGCCTGAGGACACTGTCTTTTCATTACTTTGAGAGAGAGAGAGAAGAGAGAAACACTGATGTGAGAGAGAAACATTGGTCGCTTGCTCCCTGTCCGTGCCTCCACCAGGGATTGAACCTGTGATCCTTGGGTTAACGAGAGGACACTCCACACAGGTCAGGGCAACGTGCAGTTTTAAAACAGGAATTCTTTCACTTCTGTTTTACTCTTGCCAGAAGTTCATAAGCTGAATCTAATTTTGAGGAAATATTGGGTAACCCCAAATTGAACGTTATTCTAAAAAATAACCGCTTTGTACTCTTCAGATGACAGCATTGGAAAAGACAAGTGAAGCCTGAGGAACAGCTTCAGAATGAAATAGATGGAAGAAAAAAATGAGTAAATAAAATAGATGGAAGAGAATGAGTTGTTTGCGACACATGATCTAGAATCTCTCATAAAGAATATTATCAGAACAAGCAAAACATGAACAAGGTGAAGAAAGGAGATACAAAAGGATTACACTGGTGGTGATTCCCTGAGTTTCATTACTGTACTGTGTGCAACTAAGAGGGTGTTCTTGTGCCCTGGTTTGGGGATGGGAAGGAGAGGGTTTAGGTAAAGGTAACTCATGGTGACATTTGGAGGGAATCTAAATGAAGGGTGTGTTCTTTGTACAATTGTTGCAACCCTGATGTAAATCTGAAACCATATTTTTAAAAAAGCAACAGTATAAAGAAAGGACCAAACAGGAACTCTTGAAGTGAGAGCTGTTTACTATTCTTCCTTCCGTATTCCTCTTACGATCTGGTGAAGAGAGCAGCTTACTGAAGGGAGAGCACAGACACATGAGGTCACTGAAGAAAGCTGAGGCAAGGACGCACAGTAAAGGTCCCGACAGCCACGTGTGCTGGGCAGAAAGCGCTGTGCTCAGATGGACAAGGAGCTAGGAAGCACCTGCGTGTCTTCACCTGTGCACAGAGCACAGCTCAAGACCCAGGTGGTAATGCACCCAGGTTCACTCATTTGTTCTACTATACAGCAGAATATATTATTCCTGTTTTGTAAAATAAAACAAACGCCAAGGACCACACACAAAAAAGTATTTGCTCAAGGTCACTCCGTGAGCATTTTGCCCCAAATTAATTGCACCTCCAAATTAACTGATCTCCAGTTTATTCCTTTACCTATCAAGTTTGGCATCAGCAGTGGAGCTTCTATTCTGTTTCCATGCCTGTCTCCCTTGTGCTCTGCTGAGCCTCCCCCAAGGCCACTGTGAACACCTGGACCACACCCACTTACTAGACAGTGTCCAGATTGCTCCCTCGACCTGCCTTTTTAAAGTCCAGGGGAACATGACAGACACCATCACAGACTGCTTGCTGCTGGATTCAATACTGCACAGGAGCAGCAAGAGTAGCGTTTCTCTTCTTCAAACAGTGAAAGGAGAGTGAGTCACAATGATTTAGTCTAAAGGTGAAAAAAGTAATTTCAAAGAACTAGAGCACCTCAATAACAAAAACATGCCACTAATGGTCCTCCAGGAATCCTTCCCACACCAGCTACCATCAGTAAATATAATAATAATAAATTTTTATGTACATCTGGGCTATGTAAAACTGAGTGTCAGTTTTTCAAAGATCTCAACACCAAGCTGTGAAAGAAGAAGTGGGATTTGTTCTCCTCCAGTGTGGGCAGGAGAAGCCCTTTGGGTTTCCTGTTCTAAAGTGGCCTAAATATTCAATGACTCTGTTAACATACCAAAGAGACAGAGCGCTTGGTTTTGAAGCACAGTCTCTGTTCAAAGGACTCTGAAAATGCCTGCATTTTGGAATGGGATCTCCTTTTTGATTCCAATGGCGCCTTGGGGGACATGTCCCCTGAGCTTCTCCTATAATCCCTCACGTGGGTACGGCAGCGACATCCCTGGTCCTCGTGAGAATGCCTTCTGGGACGGCTGTCAGATGACGTGGCTCTGGGAAGCACAGGAAACTGGAAACATAGAATAAAAATGTTTCCAATATACAGAGGCTGTACGGTATTAGCACAGAGACAGAATATCCATGAATTACTAACTAAACAAATACCAGGTTAAACTGAAATTTTATCTTTTTCATCAGGACCTTTCTTCTGCAATGAAGCAGTAGAATCAATGGATTAAAACATTAAGTACAACATCCCAAGATTACTTATGTTGTCCTCCACCAACCACTAGGGCAATATAATAAATTGCCCCAAGTCTTGAATTGCAATTGTAAGAAAATCTCAAAGTTATCAAATAATTTTAATGATGCCATAAATTTTTGACAACTAATATTTTTAAAAAGAGCCTTGGCCGCGCAGTCAGTTGGTTAGAGCATCATGTCCAACACACCACAGGTGCAGGTTTGATCCGTGGTCAGGGCACATACAAGAATCCACCAATGAGTGCGTACGTGAGCAGGACAACAGATCGATGTCTCTCTCTCCCTGTCTTCCTCCCTCAATCACTTTAAAAATTAATTAATTAATGAAATTTCTCTATTAAATAAATAATATAAAAATTAAATATATGATTTCTATACAAAGAAGGAATTTCTGAGCAGAAGAGCAATGGAAGAAGTCATAAGGAAAAAATAACTATGTAAAAATAAAGCTAATATGCATCCTAATGCTAATAAAATGACTTAAAGTAATAGACACAAACCAAAAACATGTGCTACATGTTATTATACTAATGTTTAATGACACCCTGACAATATGCAGTGCATCTCACATACCCAGAGACAGACGCAGAGGTCATGGAATGCAATGACATCAGTGTTAAAATGGTCAGTGTGACATTCATCAATGTCACAGTGTCACATCAGTGTTAAAATGACGTCAGTGTTACATGGGAAAATGATCGACGGAGGAACGGTTCAGAGAAATCAAACTGCTTGAAAGAACTGTGACTCTTGCTCTCCCCATCTCTCCCACGCCAGCCTAGCTTTTGCGCCCACAACTAACTTTGGTCGTGATTTTGCCCACAGTGTTGCCAGGTTCTGTGCACATTTTGCTCTTAATTCACCAGCATTCAACCCAGTTGCTGAGGGCCCTTCTGGAAACGCTCTTTCCCTTGCCCTCTACCACTGTACCCTCTTGGTTTCCCTCTGATTTTTCCTTCAAAAAAAAAGATTTTATGTCTTTCTTTTTAGAGAGAGAGGAAGGGAGGGAGAAAGAGAGGGAGAGAAACACTGATGTGTGAGAGAAACACTGATGAGCTGTCTCTCATGCGCACCCACCCGGGGACCTGGCCTGGAACCCAGACATGTGCTTTGCTGGGAATTGAACCAGCAACTTCTCTGTTCATAGGCTGGTGCTCGGTCCACGAGTCACACCAGCCAGGGCCCTCTGACCTTTCTGGCTGTGACCCCATCCACTTCCTCTACCTCACCAACAGCTAAACCTCCAGTCACCATAGAAACTGCACATCCCCAGAGAGCCTGTCCTACCACCTGATTGGTTCAGGTCCCTGTTAGAAGTTCTCCCAGGACCTCACACGTCTCCTTCACGATACTTATCACAACTGTAATCAGTAATTTGGGTAATTTTGTCACATGTCTCTCTTCTCCATTAGCTCGTATTATCTGTGACTCAAGGGCTATGTTTCGGTCTCTGGTGGAATCCCAGTCCTCCGCCGCACCTTGCCTGATTCACAGCACGAGCTTACTAATATATATTGGGTTGATAAATATATAAAGAATTTAAAAAATACCAAATCGTAAAAATCATTTATGCTTTTCAGTAAAGTTATATAAAATAAAATAATGAACAATTTTGCCTTTCAGGTTAGCAAAAAAAAAAAAAGTTTGCTAATGGTACCAAGAGCAGTAAGAGAAGGGGGAGACAGGCCTGTCATTCCTGACTGACAGGACTAGAAATGCACACGCTTCCCTAGAAAGCTGTTTGCAAAACCTGTCAGGAGGCTCAAAATATTCTCCTTCTTGGGTCCATCTGTTGAGTGTTGCTCTGGGCTGAACCGTGTCCCACCTTCCAATCCGTGTATTGAAGCCCTGTGTGAGTAACTCAGAATGGGACTACCTTTGGAGGCAGAACCTTTAAAGATTAAAGTAAAATGAGGCCATTAGCGTGGGCCCTAATCAAGTCTGACTGGTGTCCTAACAGAAAAGGAAATTTGGACCCACAGCGCAATACCAGGGATGTGTTAACACAGAGGAAAATGCATGTGAGGACCCAGCAAGAAGGAGGGCATCTACGAGCCAAGGAGGGAGCCCTCGGGAGAAGCCAAATCTGCCTACTCCTTGATCTTGGACTTCCAACCTCCAGATCTATGAGAAAGTAAATTTCTGTTATTTAAGCCACCTAGTCTACGGTATTTTGTCACAGCAGCCCAAACAAACTAATACACAGGTCTAGAAACTTACTGTCAAACAATAACTGGAAATGTGGTTGATGATTTGTCAAGCTGCTAACATACACGTGGTATTGTAAATCTGTATTTATAAGTCCATTTATGGTACTTCGTGCTGTGAACAAACTGGGGAGCAAAACAGGCAGAGGGCGCCCATCTTGGAGCTTCTGTGTGTGTAGGAGATAGACACGAAACATGCAGGGCGTGCGCTTACTTCTGTGGCCAATGTTACACAGTTCCGGGTGCAGTGAGAGGTGTAATGGTAAAACTCTGTCTATTTGGGTGGGCACTGGGACAGCTGAGAGGGGTAGTGGGAGACTCTTTCGTAGGTGTGATGACTGAGCGACAATCTGAAGGATGAGCAGGGTTAATCAGAGAATAGGGACCTCTTCCTGCCCGAGGATGAACACTGTGTGTTCAAGGCCCTGTCACAGGAGAGGCCTGTGGTTGGAAGGAAGAGAGGCCTGGCGGGGCCGGAGATCCCGGGAACCTGAGCAGACAGAGGCTGGTGCTGAGGGGCCTGACGGAGGGGCCGTCCCAAGGTGGGTGATGTTGGGACACACCAAACTGTGACCAGCGGCTTTCTCTGTGATGTCAGATTGTTTGTTTCCTTCTCCTTTTCAGTATTTTTCAAGTTTGCTACAGGGATTATGTACTAATTATCAGAAAAAATAATAACCTTTAAAAATTTGAGACAGACACAGAAGGGCACATACTGCATGACTCCACTTACATGAAGGATCTAAAAATAGTCAAACTTATAGAAGCAAAAACAAAAAGAATGATGGGTGATTTTTTAGAATGGTGGTTGCCAGGGGCTAAGAGGACAGGAAAGAGAAAGTTGCAAATCAGTGGATATAAAATTCAGTTACGCAAGATGAGCAGGTTCTGGAGACCTGCTGTGCAGTGCTGCACTCATCGATAACAACATTGTAGTATGTACTTAAAAATCTGCTAAGAGGCTGAATCCCAGGTTAACTGTTCTTGCCACAACAGAATTTTTAAACAAAATTAAAAAATTTGAGACTGGGAGTAACATATGGATTTCCTGTACCACTGAGAGGCCTGAAAAGAATGGAAAAGTTTCAATCGCAGTATGAATAAGCATTTACTATCTCCTTAGAGCAGGTGGGATTTCTAGTTGGTTGGTTTTGGTGTGGGACTTGGTGAGAAACGAGTTTAAAAGAGCACTCTCATTGATTTCAGGGTGAAGCTCCACTTTTTAAAATGTTACTTATTATGTAAGCTCTACTTTTGGAATTTTATATGCCTTTCCAATATAATTCCCCCACAAAGACATGAATTGACGTAACATTTTTACCAAGTATGTGCTCATCTCCTCCACAGTCATGGACTAAGCTTCCAGGTCTACTTCCCACACTGCCGAGTAGGCTTTGTCACTCGGGGTGGGATCCCCCACACTCTGATCTCACCTCCTGAGCTCCTGGGGCCCCGGCTGCAGGGCCTGCAGCAGGTGCTGGCTTCGGCAGCAGTAACTACTCCCTGCCCTGACTCGCACTGCAGCAGAGTCCGCTAAACAGCTTAGCTGTTGCCACTGTGGTCCCAGAAATCCTGTGCACTCTCTGACCCCAAGTTCTCATTTTAGAGACACTGGTTTTGTAATATCTTCAGTTCAGAGCTTAACTGCTTATGTTCGTTATCCTGGCTTTCACTGCAATCATCCTTCTACTGTGCCCTGCCTGTCCTCTGAGTAAACACAGCACCTGAGCCACCCACAACAGTAGGATGAGAAACAATCAGGTGCCAGGATAATAAGACCCGTGTTGAGACTTACTGTACAGTGTGTACCAGGCACCCTGGAGACAATGACCCTGAACTCTAATCTCAGAGGAAATCCTATAAGGAGGTTGTTCTTCCCCTTTTACACGTGAGGAAAATGAATCTGAGTTTGGCCACTTGGCTGGCCTAAGATTTGTGTGACTAGTGATGTTACTGGAGAAATAAAGTGCCATGCCTAAGCGTGAGACATCTCTTTTTGGATGAATAATTCTAAACTTTTTTCTTGAACTGCAGCAAAAACGTCATACTAGTTCTACACAAAAGTGCCTGTATACAGGAGTTTCAACAACATACCAGACAGAGCAGAATTTCACTATAAAAATAATGATAATAACTTGTAGGTCTTTACGAATTGTATTAAATAAGAATTTTATGTGAGGAATAACATATAATGTCGTCTAATGATATCATCAGAGCCAAGAGGGCTGGCTGTAAATTAGTCAACATAGGGAAACAACATTAGGTAAAAATATACAAACTGGTAGGTAGCTCTCTTAGAAATAATTTTTAAAAAGCTCAATACCATCCACTGAACGTCCTCTAGGGAAATTGAAGGATAATTTAAACTATTAACCTAAACGACCTTTCAGCTGGGGAAATAAGTGGGCCCTGCTCTGTTGTACTGTCCCACTGGGTCCATGGGAAGCCACCATGAGGACCCCGTCCTAAGCCACAATGAGGTGAATGAAGGAGAGCTGTGAGAAAAACTTCTGGACCTTGTGAGGGCCCAACCTTCTCCTTGAGAACGATTCAAGGACTTGTCTCACTTATTCAGAAACTGAAGTAGCCAAACTCAGCTCATCCAAACCACACACCACTGAGATGAAACCCCAAATGCCTTTAAATTTGATTTGGTATAGCAACAATTTTTCCTGCTAGGTTGCCGCTGTCCAGTGGTCATCATTCTTGGTGTGAACATGTCTTAGTCAACTCAGGCTGCTGTAACAAAATACCATGGACTGGGTGCTTACACACCAGAAATTTATTTCTCACAATTCTGGAGGACTATGAAGTTCAAGATCAAGGTGATAGCTGATTCAGCTCCTGGTGAAAGCCCTCTTCCTGGCTTGAATATGGCTACATTCTTTCTTTGTGCCCATTTGGCCTTTCCTTGGTGCAGGCTTGTGAAGGGAGAGACAGAACAAGCTCGCTGGTATCTCTTTTATAAGAAGAAGAAAAGGGTAAGCTTTTCTCAAGTTATTTTCATTGACCTCAGAGCGAAACAGAAAAATTAAATCCTGATTGTTCTCATATCACTAATACGAGAAAAATTTGAACACATCTTAGAGTCAGGAAAACTTAAGTATCCAAGTGTGGATTCACTTCACAAATATATGTTACTATGTGAAGAAAGATAAAGAGCCAGACTCCCTGTTTCCCAGGACTCTGATGCCCACATCGCCCTGGGTCCCCTGGTCTGTGTTCTGTTTGTGCTCTCTCTATTCTGTTCAGTCGGGTCGTCGTTTTATTCCATGTCTCGTCTCCTTAAACAAAAACATGCTTTCTGCATGTTGGTCTGATGACTGTGGAATTCATTATTGGCTTAGATAATATGAGCAGGTTAATTCAGGCAAATGCCCCAAACCAGTACATGGTGTCCAAAAAAATGTATATGGACACCATGTCAAACTGGTGCAAAATGATACATAACAAATTCTGCTACACCCTTATAATGTAAGGCAAAGAAAAATGCAGCCTAAAATTTGATTCCCTAAATAAAATAGAGTATCTCATTTTTTAAAGTCTAACAGAGAGTAAAATTTATTTAAGATATTATAGTTTATGTCACATATCTTCCTTTGTTTTAGTATTTTCTGTGGCTCCAAAAAGCTGTTGGGATAATCTTAAATCAAATTTTTTTCTCTTTGTTTCTCCCTGGAAACTAGAAACTAATCATACCCCTGGCTCACACATTATGAACACCTCACCTGACGTGGAACATAGAGATTAAAATGAGAGTGTGATAAGCAGGTGTTTGTTTTATAACAGGATCACAGAGAGTTGAGCAAGAAGGGCTCTCAGAGATCATCCAGTCCAATCTCTTTTCCACTTAAGGAGCCTGAAGTTCAAAGAGGTGTTAAAACACGCCCTTTGTCCTTGAGCATACGTTTGATAAGAGATATAATTTCAAATATTTGTGTCTCAAAGAAGTCTCATTCCTGCTCTGGCTGGTGTGGCTCAGTGGATTGAGTGCCCACCTGTGAACCAAAGGGCTGCCAGTTTGATTCTCAGTCAGGGCACATGCCTAGGTTGCGGGCAGGTCCCCAGTGGGGGACACGTGGGAGACAACCACACATTGTTTCTCTCCCCCTCTCTCTCCCTCTCTCCCCCTCTAAAAAGAAATAAACAAAATCTTAAAAAAAGAAAAAAAGTCTCATTCCTCCACCTTGCTGATTACTGGGAATCAAAGAGGCTGCCTTCCACACTTTAACACAGAGGCATTATGCATCTGAGAACTCTGGAGCAAAAAATAAAATAAACTAAAACAAAATAACACCCCAAAACTCACTTGGTTCTGGGGTTGGAGGAGGATTCTCTGGTAGCTGGAATTCTAAGTGACTTACAAAAAAGAAAAGCTAGAGTAACACTGTGAAACACCACACACAGTGAAGCAGAGGACGTTTATGTTCATTGCGGAGTCTTCCACCACCACAGCTGAGTTGAGCAGAGAGAACCCTGCCCGCAGGTACCTGCTGATGAGTCCACACCTCATCAGGCCCACCCTTCTCCCTCTCAGGATCTTTCCTGCTCACATCTGACTCCCTGGGCACTGGGTGTTCTTCCGAGAGAGGCGCAGGAAGGGAGTGTTGAGGATGGGAGAATCTGGGCTTCCTCTCCCATCAGGAAACCAAATGGGAACCAGAAGAAAAAGTCTATCAAATTTGTCAAAGGGGGTGATTTATTATCTGGAATCCCCAGTTTTTTACAAGTCACCAAATAATGAAGCAATTTTCATTATTTCAGAAAGACTGTTGAAGCCCTGGCCGGGCAGCTCAGGCCTCTAGATCTGTCAAGGTTGAGGGTTTGATCCCAGGTCAAGACACAGACAAGAATCGAGCAATAAGTAAGTGGAGCAACAAACTGATCTCTCTCTCTCCCTCTCTCTCTTCCAGTCTCTCTAAAATCAATTTAAAAAAAAGACTGTTGGAAATCATACATTGATCCATACCAATGCTACACACACTATAGCATCAACTTTCTTTCCTTTGACTTCAATTATATTGTCACTCAGTAGGATTATCTCAGGCTTATCAGGAGCTCTGAATAGAAGTTACAGATATCTTAGGCTACTAAAAATGAAGAAATCATTGCCGAATAGGAGAAAAATAGGTCCCTTGGAGGACCAGAGAAAACAATAAAAGGTATTTTTGTAGATGAAAAAAGATTTGGAAGTACTGATTTGCAACCAAATAAAACTTTGTACCAAAGGACTCTTCAAATTATCTAAGAGCAACCCCCTCCCCCACTCAGAGTCCAGCTCTCCCCTGTTCCATGATGACAACTCACTGGGCAGGGCAAGGAAGCTTTCCTGTAACTGGTGTCTTGTGATCCATGGCGGTCCCGGAGTCCTCTCTCTTCCTCCTCCATCCAGCTGTGACCCCAGAAGCTGCTCATCCATTTGGCAAAAGTCACATCATCATCATCATCATCTTTATGCTCCATGTAAAGGTGATTCAAAATATTCAAGGCCCGCTCCTAAATCTGGCAGAGAGACATGTCATCAAACTCAGCTGACCTGATGAAACCCAGGATCTCCCAAATCTGAAACTAACTGGTATTTTCAAATGGTCTCCAATAATGGGATCCTTAACGGAGATTTACTAAACAACCCCTTCACCATAAGGCAGCCTCTGGCAATGTCTATTTATAAACTGTGCAACCCACATGCCCCTCCCCTCCCCGTCTTTTTAAATTGAGAGGCTTTTTAATCCTCCCATTGCTGGGGCTCCTGCCTCACAGCCTAAGGGTGGGGAGCACAGTCCACTGCTTGATTTTCCCAGGGCTCTGCCGCCGGTGGCATGTGATGGCATCTCCAGCTGTCAGTGATGATGGTGCATGACCCTCATAACATGCCTATCAGCCCCAGGGAGGCTTGAAAATGGGGCCACTGACAAGGGACGGACTGACCGCAGCCTGCAAGCTATTGGCATGTCATATCCAGAGCTGGCTACTCTCCTAATCAATAAGTTTGATGTTGATATAAACCCAGCTCCTGGGGCAAACAAGACAGGTTTTTAATTGGCATTATTTATACATATACACATGCAAATAAGTTACATGTAAAGTATACAAATCTTAAGTGCATGATCTGGTGAATTTTCACACACATTTAACCCTGTGTAACCACCACTGTGCAGCTGAAGACAGAGCATTTCCAGCACCCCAGCAGGCTCCCTCTCCCCTCTTTCCCATCCTTCATCCCTCCCCAAAATTACTTCTGACCTCGGTCGTCATAGATGAATTCTGCCTGCTTTCGAACTTCCTTTCAGTGGAATCATACAGCATGTGTTGCTCTGTGTCATTCAAAACTGTGTTGGTGAGATTTATCCATGCTTTTGCAGTGCAGTAGTTCATGCTGCATAGTATTGTAATGTATGAATATGGCCCATTTTTTTCAATCTACTGCTGATGGTTGTTTGTGGCTGCCATTCGGACTTTCCAGTGGGGCTATTAATATAACTGAAGCTTCTATGAACATCATGGCCCCTGGCCTTTAGTGACCTTTTTTTTTTTCAAAGTAAGGAGAATTATTACATATATGGAACCTCTACTTTGTGCTAGGTACAGAATCAAATATCTTACATATGCTGTTTTCATTATAACCACCCTGTGCCTGGGAGATTTGTATCACATTTTGTGGTGGAAGAAATTGAGGTCATCTCATGCCCAAGGGGGAATTACCACTAAGCAGCACAGCCAAGTTGGAAGCATGCAGTAAACCAACAAAATTGAGGCTCTCTTCACACTTCTAGTATTCCAAACAGACCTTTGAAAAATCTTGAATTTTCAAAGAGGTATTCTTGGCCATTTTCCATGTGAAAATTCTTCCTTGAGCGCAAAAAGGAAGACAATTGTCACCAATGTTCCTAGAGCATGTTACCCCAAGTTGTCAGTTACTAAAGGAAAGTAAGTAACCAAAGTATAAAGTGGTTTGCAACATTTTCATTTCTTGTTTTAAAGAGAGATGCGCGCTGGTTATTTTGTAATGTGAATGAAAAAGGGGTCACATACTAAACCTGACAAGCTCAGGGGAGGCCTGCATGGTGGGACCTGCAAACTCAGAGACCTAAAGTGACCCCAAGGGATGGCCTGAACATAAAACTTCCTAATTAAAAACGAGTGCTGGTAGTAGTCATGTAACAGGCAGGCCCTAGCTTCCTTGACAAAGGCCAGTCTTTACCTTAACTGAGCCTAGTTATTGTCTTTTGCACCTAAGATTACACACCCTTGGAATGTCAGAGCAATCCCCTTTTGCTGGACCCCTCAGGGTACACCCATTGCTCCAGCACACCAGACTAGAGAAGCCCTCTTTGTTATCTTGTTCCCCTCATACCCTCTCAATGTGCTATAAATGTTCATCGTTAACTGTCCCATACTCACCAGTGGGAAAGACGAGTTTTTCTGTTTTATCCTTTATCCAACCACAGAGGTCTTCCTGCTTCGCTTTCTCCTGCCTCCTTAACCTACCATCAGTGAATCTCACCGTAACCCTCCTTCTCTCCTCCTCTGATTGTAATGTATAAAATACATCGTAAAAAAAGCCGTAACACTGTCATTCCCCACAGCATTTTCTCAACCCATTGAGATTTCGCTTCCCAGCAATTGTCGCCAGTTTGGTGCAAATAAACTCATAAATTCTCTGCAGGTTTGGACGTTTCTTACGCCAACAGTAATTTTAGTGAGACAACAGAGGAAGCCTGCTTCTCAATGACCCAGACGAGAAAGGGACAGTGGTAACCAGATGCTGGCACAGTCGTTGTCTCTGTTGTCAGAGAAAGGAATAAGATGACTTCTCTTGCCAGGGCAGGCCCAGGTCTGTCCACAAAAGTTGGCTATGAATTAACATCTTTTTTTCTGGTCCTTTTAAGACAAGGGTGACTTTTTTTTCCAATTTCTGAAACAGAAATAAATAAATCTATGGTCAGGGGATGGAGAAACAGGAGCAGATAATATCTAATTATTGCTTTAAACTATTTTGAGGAAAAGAAATAGGACTTGATTTTAAAACCCCTCTGAATGACATCTGTCTCAGAGTTGTGAACTCTTCCTTCCTTTAGTGCCTTGTAGACAGACAGAAACTATTTAGATGTTGGAAATAGCTTTATTATGAGGAATTGGCTCATGCAATTACAGAGCCTGAGGAGCCCCACGAGCTGCCATCTGCAAGCTGGAAACCCAGGAACACCAGTGGTGTAATTCAGCCCAACTCCAAAAGCCTGAGATCCAGGGAGGCCCATGGTCTCCCTCCCAATCCCAGGGCAGAAGACAATGAAATGAGATATCTCAGCTCAAGTAGTGTGGCAGGAAAAAAAATGGGCAAATTCCTCCTGCCTTTTGTTGCATTTAGGCCCTCAGTGGATTAAATAATGATGCCCACGCACACTGGAGAGAGCAATTTAATTTACTGAGTCCACGGGTTCAAATGCTCATCTCATCTAGAAACGCCCTTACAGACTCACTCGGAAATAATGGTCAATGTGGGCACCCCTAGGCAGTCACAATGACATGTAAAATGAACCATCACAGGCCCTAATCCTGTTCACCAGAGCTTCCACCCTCATGATCCATTTACCTACCAAAGACCCAACCTCCAAACGCCACCCCACTGTGGATTAGGCTCCAACATGTGAACTTTGGAAGATCACAGACATTCAGGGCAGCCTATATGACCAGCACCCAGTAACAACCCTGGGTACTAACAAGTCTCTAATAAGCAGAGAAAACATTTCACGTGTGTTCCCACCACTCATTGCCGGAGGAAGATAAGCACATCCTATGTGACTTTTGAAAGCTTGTTTCTGGCTTCCTCTGGATTCACCCAATATGCCTCTCTCCTTTCATGATTTTGCTTTGTAACCCTTTGGTGCAATAAATCATATCCATAAGTACAACTATATGCTGAGTCTTGTAAGTTCTAGCAAATTCCCAACCTAGGGCTGACAGCTGGTGTCAGGAATAGGACTTCCTAAACCCCCCGACTCACTGAAATGTGGCATAAGCAGTGTTTGGGGAAAAGAAGGATGAGGGGGACACGGGATGAACCTTAGATGTCCGGCAGTGACATAGCCATCTGTGGTATGAAGTAGCTGCTGAAATGACGTCCATTGGGAGGTAAAATTACCTACGTAATTTAAAAATGATAGATCCAGCCCTATGAGAGCTGGCTCATCAGATCCATTGGCTGCTTTGGCCATGGTAGCTAAAGTTAAGGAATTAAAAAGCACAGTCTGGTTGATGTTTGTGGATTTCATTCTCTCCTCTCAGTGGGAAGGAAAGGCCCCAAAATTTCCCCAAAAATGTTACAGGTGATCCAAAATGGTAAATCTTTGTATCAATCTCTCCTTCGAGTGGGAGGGAGGAAAATTAAGTCAGTTCCAAGGCTGGAGCAAACTGTAGCTAAATCAGAAAAGAAGGAGGGGGTGGGGAATAACTGTCCACCGGTGCGACAGCTCCCTGGATTCAGGCTGGGACCCCAGGCAACCCCGAAAGTGCTGAGTTTGCTGCTCGGGGTTTGAGTAAACTTGAAATGGAAAAAAGAGAGAGAGAGACTTTAAAAATGGCTTTTTGTCTTGTAGCTACTGCTTCTGGATGTATGACGAAAAACTGATGTAAAATATTACATGCCTATATTGTCCTCAAAGCCAGGGATTTGCCCAGTCAGGGGAAGCTGCCCTGTAAAAGGTGTTAGTACAACGTGACTTCCTGTTTTTTGCTGCTAGTGGATGGGTTAAAATTTAAACCCTTTGAATATCTGAGTGCTGAAATCTCCATAACTAATTATGTTTGCTATGATTTTCACTTGCTGGAGGCTATGGGAAAAGGTAGACAACGTAAATGGAAAACACACTTTTGGAGTTTTAAAATGCAGTTTTTAGCAAACTAAGAGGACAGCTAGATCAGGAGCAGAACCATAGAAATGAAGATCTCATGGAGAGTTAGCAACAGAGGAGTGGGAGAAGGAGAAGAGGAGGAGAAGGTACAGAAAATAAGTAGCATAGATGGTAGGTAGAAAATAGACAGGGAGAGGGCAAGAATAGTAGGGGAAATATAGAATCTAAAGAACTTGAGACACGTGGTCATAAACTAAAGGGGGGAATGGTTGGGAGGGGTGTGCAGGGTAGAGGGGAAAGAAGGGGGGAAATAGAACAACTGTAATGGCATAATCAATAAAATATATTTAAAAAATAAAAAATAAAATGCAGCTTTCAGTTTGCTAAGTTCTTGTAAAATCAGTTGTCTGACCTGCAGAAGCTGATGATTTTCCAGCCTAAGATGCATACTTTAGAGTGGGTCGGTTTGGACTCTAAAACTGGCAAGACAGAAAGGGCTTAGAAGGACTGGAGCCTCACTGCCTGACCCTGTGGTCTCTCAGTGTTTCTGCGGCTGGAAAAGAAGTCACTGGTCTTTTGGAATTCTGAATCCAGAGCCCCTCAGTCCTGGACCCAAGGGCGGGCAGAAACCTGGTAATATCTGTGGAGGACTATTCTAATCTCTGAACACGGACATAGTGCCAGCGAACAGAACCAAGAGTCTGGGACCAGTGCAGATTTAAGACACCCCTCTGTGGGCCACACATGATACAAACGTCGCTCACAGGGGATGCTGGCAGATGCCCAGGGGGAAACACTTGTTCTCTGAGGGCACTGCCTGAAACCAAGCTGCTGGTGGCTTGATATTTCTAACGAGAGAACTAATTGCATCTGAGATGATTGGTTGCAAGAAACCTAGATTGTTGAAAGCTACAAGTTGGGAGAGCACATCACGGGCAGTGGGACCTCTCCACCCACTCCTGGCAGATGGGACTCTCGATCCTTCTAAGGGACGTCTCACTGCTGTTGGCTGTGTTTGACTTTCCTGATTACTTGAAACTTGCAAGGATGGATGGCTTGCCTGACTGTATTTCACCCACCTTTCTGTTTAGTCAGAGTGTGACTGTTAAACAGATCTGTCCCCAAAGACAGACTATTCTTTTCTAGACTGATTATTAAACAAATAATTGGGACAAAAGGGGTGGGGGTTATATAGTACATTCTGAAAGCTTCTGAAAATTTAAGATTTTGTCCTAACTCATTTCTAAACATGAAATCTTTCTGGGTCTCCAAAGAACTCCCTGGTAAACACTTTGGTTTTACCAAAGTGTTGCTCAGTTTTAATTTATTGATTTTAAAGAGAGAAAGTGAGAGAGAAAGAGGGAGAAGGAGAGACAGAGAGAAACATCAATTTTGTTGTTCCACTTATTTACACATTCATTGGTTGATTCTTGGATGTGCCCTGACCAGGAATTGACCCCAATACACACTGGAAAATCTTCAGATTATTAAAAGTGCTGAGTCTAAAAAGCCCAATCTGAAAAGAATACATACTGTATGATTTTCTTTACAGAATATTGTTTAACTAACACAATCTTAGAGATGAAGAACAGCAGTCGCCAAAGATTAGGGATGAGGGCGGGGTTGTGGCTATAAAAGTCTAGCATGAGGGAGCTTCGATCAGAAAGATCTGCATGTTGATTGCAGTGGCAGTTACACACAAAGCTATACTCATAAGTGTTAAAACTGCATGAAACTGTAATACACAAAGGAACAAATGTATAGAGAGCTGATTAAGTGCTGTGGATCATATCTGCCAGTTTCTTGGTTCTGATATTGTTCTAGTTATGCAAGTTGTTAACACCAGGAGAGGCGGGGTGAAGGGTACATGTTCCACGTACAGTTACTTGTAACTTCCTGTAAATCCATGATCATTTCATAATACAAGAGGAAAAAATGACCAAGACAAAGAAACTGCTCTAAATAGGTAGCTACAAGATCAAAATGCTATTGAACTACAGGTATTCTGGGAAGACAATAATGAAGGCAGAATTGGTTTTTAATCTCTGAATCCCCACATAAAGATCAAAGAGCCACTGTAGAGGAAAACACCCATGGACAACTCTGCAACAAGTATAGGTGACCTGGTGTCCCCACCCCCGAGTGGAGTGTGAGCGGTCAAACCACCAACAGCTAAGACCTCATATAATTGCCAGTGTAGGAGGAAAAAGAAGGGAGGAACCATCTGCCAGGCCTGGGAACAGGAGAACCACAAAATAGCCAATAGTTTGGGAAGTTCTAGGGACCAATTTTAAAGGGTTAATCTTTTGTCTCTCAACATTGCTGAATTACTTTATTGCTTCCAGTAGATTATACAGTTTCTTGGATTTTAGTGTCAGTCTTTTATCCAGCAACATCACTGAATTATTTTATTGCTGCTAGTAGATTATAGTTTCTTGGATTTTCTGCAGAGGCAACCACATTGTCTACAAAAAATAAAGTTACTTCTTTCTTTCCAATATCATTTTTATTTCCTTATTTTGTCTTATTATTTTTGCCAATACCTTCAGTACTATGCAAAAAAAAACCTATGACTGGTTCTTGACCTCAAAAAGAAAACTAACATTTCACTGTTAAGTATGATATTTATTTAGATTTTCTGGTGGTCTTCACTAGGTTTCATAATAAAAATGTTTCTCTAATTGTGTCACAAGAAAATATGGCAAAATGTTAACATTGGTTAAATCTTGGTAGAAGATTGTGGTAAAAATAATCCCAACCTTTTTGCTACTTCTCCCATTGAGGGTTGGAGTCTAATTCACCTCCCCACCAATCTGTGCTAGCCGTAGTAACAAGCTTGACCCTTGGAATGTGGTAGGAGTGATGTTTTAGAGGGCTTTGCAGCCTCTGCCTCAGGCTCTTGGGACACTGTCTGGGAAGCCTGAGTTGCCAGGTGCCACATAAGTCTGCACACCCTTACTGCCACGCTGGAAAGGCCACAAGAAGATGCTCCACTGGAGAGTCCCAGATAAGTCCAGTCTTCAAGGCATTGCCACTGAGGTGTCAGACACACGGTGAAGCCATC